ACTGGAAGAACTGATCCGGAGCAAGAAAGGACGAAAGCCGCCCGGCTTTCGTAAAAACCGGCCGACTTTTGGTCGCCGAATGAATTGTTCAGAATTAAATTACAAAAGCCGCCCGGCTTTTGTAAATGGCGGCCGGTTTTCGACCCCTGGAGCGGATGAGCAGTATTTTGAACGCGCAAAAGCCGCCCGGCTTTTGTGAATGTCGCCCGGTTTTCGTCTGGCACTGATTAAAACAGGCAACGGTCATCACAATCATTCGAGAGAAGCTCCAAACCCCATTAAGGAGCTTGCTTCCTTGTCCAAAAATGGCCGTTGAAGACCCAATATTTAAGCATATGGAAGCCCTCTCAAGTGATTATTCCATATTCCATACACTTTACTTCCATTTTAGCACTCCAAGATCAACCCCTTGGTCTTGGGAGAAGTTCTACACTTGGGGATCCCATTATCCACCATAGCTTTGGAGTTGTGGTATTATCTTCTTATGTATTTCATTGTATTTCATCAATTCAATACTTGTAATTTCATTATGAGTTGCTCTAGCTAATTTTCCATAACCAAGGTTAGGGATGAAACTTTACGCACTCTAGGTGTTTGATGTATGTTCTCAACCAAATTATTATGATCTTTCCTTTATATTTTAATGTGTATGACTACGGTGTACAACGTATGATTATATCGTTGGGTTTATTTGAGCAATTAACGTTGACTTATGAACCGTGCACTTAAAGGTTAGACATATTCTAATTGTGGATAGAAATATACCTCAATTGAATATGGTGGCTTTAATAATGTCCTAATCTTCAATGGGGTTAATTTTAGATGAATGTGAACCGTGACGGGATTCACACGTAGAATTAATCACAATCTCGCTGCCGTAACAGGAGTTAGAATACTTTAGCGACATTCCACTCATAAGAATTGGTGAAAGAATATACATTAATCGCTAGGAGTCGTTTAGGAGTAATCCCGAACCCTTGGTTGTTTTTATTATCACTTGAAAAACCAAAAATCTTTACTCTTTTACCAAGTCTTTTAAAAATTATATTCTCAATTTTTGAATCATATAAACAACGTTTCCTCGTGTTCGACTCGGTATATTTACCGGATTTTATTACTACATCGGCACTTGTACACTTGCAAGTTTAAGCCGATCAAGGACAAACCAATACTATCTCATTTGAATTTTGGTGTCACAGGAAAGTAGCGTGTTAACGCTACGGTTCGTTGATTGGGATTTTCCATTAATTTCTTCAAACCTGTTTACGAAAATAATACTCTTATTCATTAACAATAACACAAATTAAATCACCATAAATAATATTATCGAAATATAAATACTAAACCAATTAACAACTCATTCAATGTAATAGTTATCTAGCTAAATTCTATCTACTTCTTTTTACTCTCTGCCACTTCATATATCAAATATCAGTAAATAATTTTATCACTCCAAATGATTGAACAAGGGGCAGAAAAGATAAAGAGATTGGAAGCATTTCATTATTTCAATAATCTGTAGCCATACATCAGTGCATCACTACTTCATCATAACATCATTCTTCATTAATCATCATACTTCTTCCGATTTTCAAACTCAAAAATCAAAAATTAAAATACAAGTTTGAAATACATAAAACAAAGCAAGTAAATGAAGCAATCAACTACCTGCAGTAGTGCAGTACAGCAGTAGAATCTGGAGCCTAAACGATGTAGGAGTGGAGGGCCGGAGGCTGGTGGCTGGAGCATAGGTGTGGCCTGTGTGCGGATCTGCTGACGCAACTCACAAAGCACCAGACTGACCAGAGCGTGAGCGCGGCAGGGGCGGAACCGGCAGAATCGCGGCGGCCGGCGGGCTGGTCGCCGGAGAATCTACTTGAGTGCCTTCAAGCTGGAGATCTTTCGTTCTTCACTCTTGGTCTGGAGGATGAGAAGTAGCAGCTCCGATTTCAGGAAATCGGGATTGGGCATTTGGGCTAGGTTGGACTACCGCGTAAGAGCTAAACGACAGTGTATATTTTTTTTTTGTAAAACATCAAAACGACGTCGTTTTGATTAAAATTTTTTGAAAATTTTGGTAGTTCAGCTGAATACTCTTGAACACTGGGCCGTCCGCCACTGCTAGCGGGGTATGGCTACAAGTTTAGGATGTTTTTACTTGGACTGTAATTTGCTGGTCTGGTCTGATCTGGTCTGGTCTGGTCTGAACTGGTCTGGTCTGGTCTGGTAAGGTCTGGTTTCTTTGTATTTTTATAACTATCCAAGTCTGGTCTGGTCTGGTCTGGTCTGAACTGGTCTGGTCTGGGGCAAATTACAGCCCAAGTAAAAACATCCTAATCAACAAGATGGAGAATTATGAATTTGTCTTTGTTATGCATTTAATGACGCATTTGTTTGGAATTACTAATGAGTTGTCTCTTGCCTTGCAACAAAAAGATCAAAATATTATTTTGGCAATCAACTTGATTGAGACGATGAAAGTTAGATTGCAAGAATTTCGAGATAATGGGTGGGAGACTCTTTTAGAAGAAGCAAATTCATTTTGTGAAAAAACCAACATCCCGATTTTAAGTATGGAAGAACAAGTACTAGTTCGTGGGCGTAGTAGACGAAGTGGAAACACAATCACAAATTTGGTTCACTTCCGTGGCGGAATCTTTTGTGAGGTATGTGATTATGTATTTTGATTATTTTATTATTATTAGTATTTATTCATTTATTTTGATTTTATTATTTTGTACTATATATTAGGTTGTTGACAAGATGATTGTGGAGATGAATAATCGTTTTTCATAAGCAAGTACTGAGTTACTTACGTGTATTGCATGTCTTGATCCAAAAAATTCTTTCTCCCAGTTTGACATTGATAAACTCATTCATATGGCTGAAATGTATGTGGAAGATTTTTCTTCTACCGATCGTTTTATGCTCAAGCAACAACTTGAGACATACATTCATGCCGTGCGGAGTCAAAGTCAATTTCTTGCAATAGAAGATTTGGGAAATCTTGCCAAACAAATGGTTGAAAGTGGCATGAACCTTGTGTTTTCTTTGGTATATCGTCTTATTGAGTTGGCGTTAGTTTTACCAGTTGCAACAGCTTCAGTTGAAAGGGTCTTTTCTGGCATGAAAATCATCAAGACTGATTTATGGAGTAGAATGGGAGATGAATGGATGAATGATAGCTTGGTGATATACATGGAGAAGGAAATTTGTGCCAAAATTGAAAATGAAGCAATTTTGCAACGTTTTCAACATATGCAGACGCGCCGCACACAGTTGTCTCAATTGCCTTCTTCTTCTAACATTTAATTGTAATGTAATGTACTCTTCTCGCAAATTTTATATTTTGTAAACTTTAATAACAATTTATATTTTTGCATTTTATAAAACCTTTAGCCACCCCTTTACTTTGGTTCTGGTTCTGCCACTGTGTGCCGGTACAACTAGTTTTTGTAAATTTGTTTACTCTTAACTTTTAATTAAAATTAAAATTTGAGGTGGGTCAAGACATACGTTGCTCCCCTAGCTAACCCCTTATCTAATACGGAGTACTTTTCATCTCATTTTGGTTGTTTTCCTTTTCTTTTTAGTTGTCCATTTTGGTTGTTTTACTTTGTTTTTTAGCTGTTCAAAATGAATGTGATGTTACTTTGTATAGCAAAAAATATACTATGTATTACTTTATGAGAGTCCTAATCTTGTCAGGCCGGCCTGACGGAAACCGCTGTCCAGCCGAGGCTATCAGAGGCCCTTTCTGGTAGAATTTTTTGATGAATTTTTTTGAGGATGTTCTTCATCAAGTCTATTTTATCCATACCAAATTTTAGGTTGAATTTATAGGTGAAATTTTTTCAGGGAATTTTTTTGTAGGGATTTTTTTTACCGCCTTCCCGGTTGAATTATAGCTAAAATTTGGTATAGATGAACTAGACTTGATTAGAAACATTCTCAAAAAATTGCATAAAAAACTTCCAGCAGGAAGGGTCCCAAATGGCCTCGGCCTGACGGCGGTTCCCGTCAGACCATATGATATGTCCTCTTGTCATTTCTTTTATTCTATTCAAATATTAACTATAACTTTACTCTTCAAATAGTTTACTAATAATCGTATGAAATTAAAACTGACGGAAGTATTTTTTTAAAATCGAAATAGGAAACTAATTTTGTCATAACTAGTGATATTAAATTTGAGAGGGGGGTGCGTGCGAACACTTGTCCCTGACCTCAGGTCCTCAGGGGTCCTGCACTGCTCGCTAAAGAACTGCTGGAGTAGCCAATATGAATGAACTCATTATTATTATTTCTCCGATCCAAATAATAATGAATGGACTAGAAGTTGGCGGTCATATGACCATATCTATGTGGTGGCGAACGAAAGCAACATGTCGTCGTTATTAGAGTGGATCGGCCTTAAATAAAAAAGCTGAGAAAAAGTGGTTAGTAGTAAAAGTTGATAGTGTTTGGTAAAATAAGTGCTTTTTGTGTAATAGAAAAAGTAAAAAGTAGATTCTACACAGAAGGCGAAAAAGTAAAAGTTAGTAGTGTTTTGTAAAATAAGTGGTTTTTTCTTACAAAAAGCCACAATCACTTAAATTAAGTGATTGCAACAGAGCATAAGTAGATCGATCGATCGATCAATTTTTTGTTTCCCAACGTTTTGAAGGATAATTAAAAAAATAATAATTTAATCTCAATTTTTTTAAGAAGTATTAATTTCAATAAAGTAAAGAAATACAATAGGTGTAGGACATCAACCAAAGGCCAAAGCCTACCACCGTCCAATTATTTGAATTCGTCCATCTCAAAGTCATTTTTATTACTACCTCGGTCCCATTTATACTGGGACGGAAGAGGGTGACACGATTATTAAGAAAAGTAAATTTGTGTGGTTGATATTAATTGATAAAATAAGAATAAAGTAATAATGATTTAGACCTACCCAAACTTTCCAAATATGGTATAACAGATATAATTCATTCAAAACTTCTCTCTTCTTCCAAATTTAGTACTCCCAAATACTCCATTTCCTCTCCAACAATATTCTCCTCCTCTTCCTTCCCAAACATACTTTAAGAGCGGGATGCGAACACTTGTCCAGTTGTCCCTGACCCCAGGGGTCTAAAGACCTGCTGGAGTCTAGCCAATATGAATGGACTAGAAGTTATGAGAGCGGGTCGGCCTTAATAAGTAGATGAATGACAGATCGATTCACACACACCGCAAAAGATCTACACGATTCAATCAATTGTATATGATGGAGAAGGGAATCGGTCCTCATCACTGCCCGCCGGCGTCAGAGCGACCTCCAACTCCGGCGGAATTCAAGGGAAGTTGCGGCGGCAGCAGCAGGTTACACACAACACTGGCGGTGGCGCTGTGGCTGGGCACCATCCACCTCAACATCTTCATCCTATTCGCTTCCTTCTCCTTCCTCCCATTCTCCCATGCCATCGCGTACGTATCATCACTACTCTGCTCCACACCTTAATCGTCTTTTCAATTCATTTCTATGAATGTTAATTTTGGATTCGTTCATTTGCTTCAGAGTTGCGGGGGGACTTTTGCTGTTTTTTGCGCTAGTCCCGATTGACGAGAATAACAAACACGGCCGGAGATTAGCAAGGTCTGGTTTCCTTATCCTTGCCATTTGTATCTTACCCGCTCCCCAAGTTCAACTACATATACTCCGTATATTTTAATACTCTCTCGGACCATTTTGCAAACTTTGACATTTATAATTAAAACAACTAATTTGTGAGTCTGTACATTTTTGTTTCTTCTGCACAAATCTCAACCACACGCTTTTTATCATTCTTATTTTTCACTTCGCAAAGTAAAGGGTCTGTAAATAGGTTGATGTTTTATAGATAAATAAAATGTGATTTTTCTGTAAATTTTGGTCAACACAGGTACATATATAAGCACGCGTGTAGCTACTTTCCGGTGCATCTGTACGTGGAGGACTCTGGGGCATTCGATCCCAATCAGGCATACAGTAAGAAAGAAACTGTTCTGTCCATCTTAATTTTATTACTTATTGCATATTCTTATTTTATTTAGATCAGATCAGAAAAATTCAGATCAGATCAGGAACATTCAGATCAGAAAAGTTCAGACATGATTTATCCTTTTTATAATAATAATAATAATAATGATGATAATAATAATAATTATTACTACCCCCGTCCCATTTTATGTGTCTTCTTTGGTTTTGACACAATTTTTAATAAAGTGATTGAAAAGGTAAAAGTTGTGGTTGAGATTTGGTTATAGTAAAGTGAAATGTTGTGAACCACATATTTCTTTCCAAAGAGGGAAAATGGACACTTATTTTGGGACAACCCAAAAAGGAAAGTAAAACATGTAAAATGTTACGGAGGGAGTATTATTTTTGTTGTTGTTATTGTAATTATTATTATAATTACTATTATTATTGATATTATTATTAGGGGTGGGACCGATCCATATTATTACTATAATAATATGGAAGGACATAAGGTGTTACTTTTACAATAGTCACATGATCATATGTGGACAAATTCAAAGTTGAGAAATAAAAGTGTCTTTCCAAGTATATTTGAATGACTAAAAGTGGACAAAATGAGGGTGTGTTTGACGCAATAATTAACGAACAAAATTGGCAAAAACTGTTACTACTTCATTTTAGTTTGGTAAATCAGTCTTTATAGCAATCCTTATCCTGGTTAATTGACATTTTTTTGTATTTCATTTTTTGTGTACTATGATGGGGTTGAAGTTTTTGGGTATGAACCGCACTCTGCTTGGCCAATTGGAGTGATTTCACTTGCAGACCTTACAGGCTTCATGCCACTACCAAGAGTGAAATTCCTCGCTAGCAGTGCTGTAAGGCCTCGTTAATCATAGTGTGCGTAATTCAATTGTCTCATGCTCAGTTGTCTAAAAAATGATCATTGGCAGGTCTTTTTGACACCATTCATGAGGCATTTATGGACCTGGTTGGGAACATCACCTGCAACAAGGGATAATTTTAAGTCCCTCCTGTCATCCGGCTATAGCTGCATCATAGTGCCGGGTGGAACTCAAGAAGTATTCTATATGGATCCTGGCTCTGAGGTTTAGTATAAACCATATATATATATATATATGGAATAATTTAAGTTGCTTTCTCATCTTTATATAGCAAACCATTCAATCTAGAGGTTTTGACTAATAACTAAATATCGTCCCACCTCACAAATTAAAATGAAACATTTAAAACAGAAAAGTTATATGTGTAACGAAGAGAATACTATTTTTGTAATAATACTCCTCATGAATAACCTCGGGTATATCCGTATATATGTACCTTGTGGTTCATTAATAAAGAGCAGGATATGATTTCAGGGCTTTAATGCACCAAACCCCCTCGTGAAATAAAAATTCGGCGCATTAGCCTCCTGTGATTAAACAAATGCGTCAAACCCCCCTGTGTTATAATTAATCATGTGCCAAACCCCCTCTAAGAACAAATTTAATTTTCAAAAAAATGAAAAATGGTTAGTTTTTTTGTATAATTGAGAAATTTTGACAAAGTTACTTGCATATTCAACCATATTATTAAAAAAAATGATTTCAAAATTTTAAACTTTGTTCTTGGAGGAGGTTTTGCGCATGATTTATCATAACACGGGGGGTTTGACGCATTTTTTAAATCACAAGGGGTTAATGCGCCGAATTTTTATTTCATGAGGGGGGTTTGGTGCATAAAACCCATGATTTCAGTTAACACTTGGTCATCTATCACGGAGAGAGAGACTTGGTCTCAGGGATGGATTTAAGACTTTCAAAATTTTCTACTATATATACTCCCTCCGTCCCGAAAAGATTGGCCAAATTAAAGTTGACTTTCACGTGAATTAATAAAGTAAAAACTGTGTGGTTGAAATTTTTGCTGAGGAGAGAGAATTAACTTTAGCCACATATTCCTTACTTTAAATGGAAATGGCAAATCTTTTTGGGACATCCAAAAAAAGAAATTTGGCCAACCTTTTCGGGACGGAGGGAGTATAATATTTTCAGACTTTAGTTAGATATATATGCTTTCTCCCCCCTTATCTTTTAGTTTTCAAAATTAATATATAAGCTCACATAATGTAATACTTAATTGAAGATTTAAAATAAGTAAAATCTAAAATAATTTACATAATTTAAATAAATAAACAATAGAATAACTCATTGTTTAAGACTTGGGATACCTATTATATCAAAATTCTTAATTTTGTAATGTTTAATTATCTTTATAAGATAATTAGTACTCGGTATGTAAAATATTGAAGATATTATAAATATCAGACACAATAGTTAAACAATTTGTAGTGTAAAGTGAATCCAAAATATAAATGTTTGTTGACACTAAATTACACAATCAAATCACTTCTTACTTAAAAACAATTTGTTGCATAGATAATAAGCTTTAACAATACTACGTGTGATCTAAAACTAATAATCTCATACATACTATTGTAATATTAATAAAACTCCGTGTGATCCATGAATACCCTCCTTCGTAGACACAAATTGCAATTCAAAAATCGATTTTTTATTATGATAAGATTCATGTGGTTAAACAAAGCAGAAATTATTAAAAACATCGGTCCATGTATACCTTTTAAACTCCTTATTACCTTCAAATAATTTGATAAAATGTTACATCCTTTCTTATTTTTACATTGTCTAAAATTAGAATGTAATATAATTGATTTGAACGTCATCGTGTATTTACTCATGGAATTGTTTGAACAAAATGTAGCTGCAGAGTCCTACACTAGCGGAAAAAAATTGTCCCATTACATTAGCAAAACATTTTTCACCCTACATTTTCTCCCCATTACATGTAGCTTCAGAGTCCTACATTTTTCACCCCATTACATTTGCCCCAATACTAATTTTCCTACAATAGAGGAAAATTTTTCACCCCCTACATTAATGAAAAAAAATTCGCCCCTCTTGACTCGAAATCCTGGTTGGAGTAAAGAACTGGTAATTCGATCTTGAATCAGGGCGTTTTCATCAAGTATATAAATAAAATGTTGCATGTCTATTGGACTACCACTTAGGGCCGCATCTAGGGTGGGGGCAGCTACACCCCTTAACGGCTTAACCCCAACCCAACCCCTATGCATATACATATAACTTTTGGTTTATCTACATACATGTGCGCTTAATACATATAAAGGGTGTTTGATTAGCCGCCTAACAGCCATTTTTGATTGATTTGACTAATATTTGACTTTCTGACCAGATCAATCCAGATCAATCAGATGTTTGGTTCAATGACTTTTTCATTTGATTTTTTATTTCAAATAGCCAAATTTTCAAAAGCTATAGAACCTAGCGGTGACCTTCTCTCATCTTTTCATATAATCCTTTATTACCCACTACCCACGTCCCCTTCTATCTTTTCTGTAGCTGTTCCGTCCCACACCTCAATGAGAAAAAGATAAGTTGCAAAGCAAATTCCAGTCTAATTAGCTCGTCGGTCGAAAAGAAAAACAACAATGAAGAGAGCAAGCGTCCATGAAATAAAGTTTATTTCTTTTAGCTTTTTCTTCAATTTTGCATCTCTTGTGCACGGCAAGTCAATTGAAGAAAAGGTACTAGAAGTTTTGTTATAAAAAGTACTACGTACGCACTATGTACTCTTTTAGGTAAAAATAACAATAATAATAATAATAATACTAATACTAATTATTATTATTAATGTAATGTAAATTTTACATTTTTGAACTATAAAACGGTTTAAGCAATTATATATGAAGTATTAATTACACTAACTAAAAATTAATTGATGTCATTAACGGTCATTTAACAAGTTATCAGCAGATTATAAACAGTCGTTTAACCAGACATGATTTTACGAACTCTTAATTCTATCAGCCAACATAATCAGCCAACTGTCGACCACTCACTACAAAAAAACACGGGTGTAGTCACGGATTTAGTCACGGACTGCAGTGTAAAAATTCCGTGACTAAAAAGGTTAGTCACGGTCATCCGCCGTGACTAAATCCGTGTCTTAATTGGCGTGACTAAATGAAGTCACCGCCACATAACCGTGACTAAATTTAGTCACGGATTAGTCACGGTCAAGGGCCGTGACTATTTTCATGCCGGAAACCCCACTCCGACGTGTTAGTCACAGCCTGTGACCGTGAGTATAATTTTTTTTTAAAAAAAAATATTAGTCACGGCTGTGGGCCGTGACTATTTTTAAAAAATTTCATAAATTTTTGAAATTAGTCACGGTTTTCGACCGTGACTAAGTTTTTTTAAAAAAAAAATAAATAATGTTTTTTATTAAAAACAAATAATAATTTCGAATTAACTGTAGTCACGGATAAGGCCGTGACTACTATTTTTGTTTTTTAAAAAAAAAAAATCCATTTTTTGTTGAAAGTTGTTTTTAAAAATTACTTTTTAATACGTATTTTTACAAATTAAATTTAAAAATGTTATTTTAATTTTTATTCATGTTTTTATACTATTCAATTATTGAAAATATTATTCTAATTTTTTAAATTTAAAATTACATTTTAAAGAGTAAAGACATACAACAAACTTAATAAATATTGTGACAAACTTTTAAATGTTTTGACAAACAACAAAGTACAAATGTATGATGATTACATGTCCCTTCGTGGGACTCCATTATGAAAAAAATTAGGATTTTCTTCTTCTTCTTCTTCTTCTTCTTCTTCTTCATCATCATCATCAACAAGAAACTCATTTGGGTTCACGGGGGGGTCTTCGGGGTCAGGTCGGGTTCCTCCTTGGGGTGCCCCTCGGTGTCCTCCTCGGGGTGCTCCTCGAGCTCCATGGCTCGGTGTGCCACTACCTCCTCCGGATGACCTCGCAAAATCAAAGGACATAGATCCGAAATTCGGGGAGATCATAGGCATGCCACCATATCCGGAGTTGGGGAAAAATCCCGTACCGCCCATGTGCGGAACTTGAGGAGTTTGCTCAGGGTGGAATACGTACGGGGGAGGAAAAGGCTGTTGCGGAGGCTGGAATCCGGCACGCATGTACCGTTCCATCTCCTCCAACCGGGCTTTTGTGGCCTCATCTGCTTTCCGTTGCTCCTCCCATCGCCGTTCGTGCTCCTCCAGTTCACGCTGCATTGTAGCAATACGAGGATCTTCTCCCCGCCTTGACCGAGAAGAGGAAGCGCCGGTGCTTCGATCATACAAAATCCGTTGCCCCTCGGCCCCCAAGCACGGAACCCGGCCCTTGTAAATCCCGGCCGCCTCATCATCCGCATCGGAATCGAGGTCGTCTTCCTGGGTCAAGCCTCGTGCCGCACGCTGCCTTTCAACGGATTCGTTGTACTTCGTCTGCATTTTCAAAAAATATTTTTGAAATGCTACATACTTAGATTTGATATGTTACTAAATAACAAAATATGATGCTACATACTTCGAAGTCAGCGAGGCGGGGTGGCAGATCGGCTTCAGATTCCTCGCCGTGCTTCGTCCAGCAATGCTTGACGAGCCGGAGAACACCAACCCTCTTCTTCTCAGGACCAGCCTAAATGGTGTGAAAAAGACTTAAGTAAATTTTTTATAATGAAGGATTGTGATGGTGTAAGGTTTTTTGAATAGCACTTACAAGAGTTTCTTTATGGGCATTCTGAGATTTGCGACCCCCGTGCCACTGCATCTCCAAGGCCTTCTCAGACATCCGGTTTTTCTTACCGGATTCACTTCTGGCCAAGAATTTCGGATCAGAAGACCAGTGGCGACAAAGGTTGGACCACACTTCATCCGAAACCCATTTAGGCTTTTTCGAACTTTTTCGCGCACGTTTAAAAGTGGCGCGAAGCCAGGTCGAAATCCTAGCATTGTAGGCTTTAAGAATATCGGCACCGTTTGCGTGAGTCCAACGATAGCGAGCCTTTATTAAAACAAATTGGATTAATTAATCAGTAGGTATATATTAGGCTAATACAATCAGGGAGGGAACATTCATTTATTTTTACCTTGAACAGGTTCCACCATAGTTCGCGAACCTTGGGGTCAACATCCGAGTACGTGGCCCAAGTGCCAAGAAAGTGTCCTCCGATTATGCTTTTGATG